CTTGGAATAGTAAAATATCTAGTATTTTGGTTCTTTTTTTAATTGCATTTTAGGTTTGGGGGTACATGTGAAGAACATGCAAGATTGTTACATAGGTACACTCATGGCAGTGTGGTTTGCTGCCTTCCTTCCCCTCACCTGTGTCTGTCATTTCTCCCCATGCTATCTCTTCCCACCTCCCCACCCCCCATCCCTCCCGCATTACCCTCCAACAGACCCCAGTGTGTAGTGCTCCCCTCCCTGTGTCCATGTGTTCTCATTGTTCAACACCTGCCTGTGAGTGAGAATATGCGGTGTTTGATTTTCTGCTCTTGTGTCAGTTTGCTGAGAATGATGGTTTCCAGATTCATCCATGTCCTTACAAAGGACCCGAACTCATCGTTTTTGATGGCTGCGTAATATTCCATGGTGTATATGTACCACATTTTCCCTATCCAGTCTATCATCGTTGGGCATTTGGGTTGGTTCCAGGTCTTAAGGCAAATTTGTCAAATAGGTAGCACATCTAGCCTCATACATTTTTATATGGACTCTTTTGTTACACACAAGTTATTTTCCAATTCATGGTATATTCTCATTCACATTTTTGTGCCTCAAACGATGTAAATTGAAAACCCACTTTTATTTCTGGCATTGAGGATTTTAAGGTGAGCAATACATGCTTCCTGTTGTCAGTATTTTCAAAATTAGATTAAGGAAGCAGATGATTGAAAACAATTATGAAATCCTGTGTCAGACCTTAACATGACAGAAGCCCAGTCAGAACATGAAAGTAGAGATACTTAATTAGGTCAAATGGGAAGAGCAGGTTTCTGAGAAGGTTTTCTGGGAAGACCTAACGAGACTCAATTTTCTTGTCAGTGTGCTCCGGACTGGCAACCAGCTCTCAGATATCTCAGTGTTAATTCAGATAAATGTATTCATTTTCTTGAGGGTTTTTAGTTTCCAAGCATTTTCTTCTGAGTGGACAGAAAGGCTTCACCCTTGGCAACATTAGTGGTTTTTTACTGTGTGACTGACCCCTTTTAACAATCTACCAAGGTCTTTTCCCAGAAAAATATGTGGTGTTTGTGTTTATAAATTCATACATATTTTTGCATGTAGTTTTTCAGAAATCACAAACTTAAAGCCTCCTTAAAGCTGATGGCCTCAGCTTCAGATTGAAGAGGTAGAGCTCAATGAGGAATTCGGGACATGGGTGGAAGTTGCATTTTTCAAAGTTAAGGTGTAGGGAATCACAATCTTGAATGGCTTATTCTCATGATACATTATTTTATAAAAAGCACTTATTCTGCATATTAGAATAAAAACACTTTGTCTGCTTTAGTCTCTGATTTAAAAAAAAATGTTTGTTGTAAATTGAAGGCAAATAACCTTTAGGGGAAAAACAAAACCTCTGGTTTTCCATGTAGCTTAAAAATTGTTCTCTCCAACATTTAATTTTGGCCTATTGGTTAGCTCCAACCCCCTATTTGACCATAAGAATCCAAGCAGAATTTCAAACACATAGTAAATATTCTAATTCCATTTGAGCATTTTCCTAGTATCATCTCAATAACCATTTTCCCATTTTTTTTAGTTCTGATCTCACTAACCTCAAATCACGTATTAAATGAGCCAAATAAATGATAATTCATACTTTTAAGACTGTTTCTCTCCAATTTTGTTTTTTGAGGTAAAATAAATACTAAATACCACATAAAAATGAAAACAAAATTCCAAAGTGGATTTGAGAATTTCATATGTATTTTTGCACCTAAATATCAAATATATATTAGAATATAATGCAAATCCTAATACATATAAGTATAATTTGCCATGGTCCAACATACTGTGCCAATGCATAAGTAAAATATTTTAGAATACAGAAATAGGACATAGATTTAAATAGAAGATGAATTAAGGAAATCTTTAAATGTGTGCAATATAAAGAAGAAAAGCATTTTAAACTACGTGACAGGTTGAAAATCCTAACATGTCTTTTTTCTGTTGAGCATATCAAGATTTAAAGATGTATATTGGTGATAGTGCATCAAGTCTGGCCCTAAATGAATTTGCTTAGTCACTCACTATTGCTTTCTTTCAAAGAAATATTTGGTTTTCTCCTGAAGCAATTTATGGTGTATTCGGAACTGCCAAACTATTCTGAAAAGTTATTAGGTTAGAAAAAAATAACAATAAATAAATGGGCTTATGTCCTCTGGAACTGTTTTTTTTTGTTGTTTTTTTTTTTTTCTCCTTTTAAGTATCATCTGGACTGGTGCCTTTTCTTCTCTCCAGAAGTAATGTTTTTGCTTCTGCGAAGTGATTCATCCTTGGACTGTTGATCTGTGTTTGATATAATCCATCAAGACATGAATCTTACTGCATATAAAAAGCCATTATAAGAAAATAAAAATTTAAATTTTGTTTTATGTGTTCTGCTTTTATTTGAAATGTAGTATTGACGAAGTACATTTTGCTTGGTTGAGTGCCTTGATTTTCAAGTCAACCGTCTGACTCAAAGAATATTGAGAATTTATTCTTGCAGAACAAAATTAATACTAATAAAGATGACAATGGCAATTATTTGAAGTGATTAGGAGCTTTTTTAAAATGTAGAATCTGAGGCGCCTCTCCAGACCTACCAAATCAGTCTGCATTTTGGCTGGATTTGCTATGATTCCTATGCAAATTAAAGTTAGTGAAGCACTGCTTCAGTGTCTAGTGGCCACCACACTCTATCAGCAGTAAGAAAGGAAAAGACAGGCCGAAAGTCCCTGCCAGTGGAGGCTTGCAGCTTTTTGCGTCATAAATGCACCTGATGGAAGTTTCAAATAACTAGTCAACTTCAATTTACCTTACAATCTAAAAAAGTATAACATTTATTTTTATGAAAACCGACAAGTCTTGTATTACAATTGGCAAAATATTTAACTTGGGTAAGTTTCTTGGGAGGTCTGGCTTTAGGGACACTGGAGCATTGGTGTTTTCTGTTGCATCTGTCTGAAGATGATTAGAATCTGGATTCAATTTCAGGCATCAAAACCACCCTCTTAGCTAGTGTTATAAACTATTCTGTACAATCTTTGTGGCTTTGCTGCTATGATAGTGAACAATGGTAAGCATCTCTTTGCTTCTTTAGACTGCCTTTCTATTGGTAATAGGGGCAGTGAGGAGTTTAAGAGAGAAATCTAATCATACTAAAGATTTTTCCATATGTTGAAGTGATAACCTACATTGTACTAATTTTTATTTTCTTCATTTCTAGATTTACACATATTTCTTCATTTCTAGATTTACACATAAATCTTACCCCCTCCCTCTTATCTCATGTTAGTTTTGCACTGGATGAATAGTTTTATATGATAAGCCTTTGATCAAAGCCTAAAGCATTGCATAGCTTTTAGGACTGAAGTTTAAACTTCATAAATAAGCTGATTTAAACTTCATAAATAACTAATTCTCTATGCTGTTAAACTTCATAAATATTAATATTTAAATCTAATAAAACATAGTAACTTGAAAAGCATAGATTTTGTCACTTTCTAGATTGTAATAATGTATTTTCTTTCTTTTCCTTTTGGTTTCACAGAAAATAAAATCTGAAGAAAGTTAAAAAGTAAAGAAAATTGGTAAACCTGAAAAGAACAAATATCCCTGTATTTCTAGGCATTTTTCAATGTTCTGCTTCATGATTAATTTATCATTTCTCAAGTTTTCTGTGCTTCCTGAAGTTACTGTGCTTTGATTTTGGCAGTACTAAGGGATTGGTTGGTTTAGTTTGTACTCAAACAGGGAGGCTATTTTATTGTCTCACTAATGTATATGACTAACCTGAAAAGAGAAATTTACATGTTGGTTATCAATGAACTCTCTCATGGGGTTTCACAATGGCTTATAGAGTTTTGCTTTATTAAGTAGCATAAAAGAGTAGGTATAAAAGATAGAGTCAGAATGTGCTCAGTTGCTCACTCCTGTAATGCCAGCATTTTGGGAAGCTGAGGCAGGAGTATTGCTTGAGGCCAGGAGTTCATTACCAGCATGGGAAACATGACAAAACCCTTTCTGCACAAACAATACAAAAATTAACAGGTGTTACCAAAATTAGCCCAGCTCGGTGGAGTGTGTCTGTAGTCGCAGCTACTTGGGAAGCTGAGGTAGGAGGACTACTTGAGCCTGGGAGGTTGAAGTTGAGGCTATAGTGAGCCGTGATCACTCCACTGCACTCCAGCCTGGTGACAGAGAGACCCAGACTCAAAAAGAAAAAACAAACAAACAAACAAAAAAAAAAAACAAAGACAGAATGAGAGTGTTTTCAGGTTTTAGGGTAATGACTTGGAGCCTCTTGAAAATATGGACCATGTTGTATTGGTCATTAAAGATCAAAAGTCTGTCATCTAGTTGTTGCCTAAATAAATGCTGACTTAAGTACTACTTTTGAAGTTATATATCCATTTTACAGAGACTCAGAGGCGATGCCCTTTTAGATAAAGTGTATTATAAAATGTATGAAATGTGGTGAATGAATTGCTACAGTAGCACAATATTCTTTTGTCTTAATTGCATCTTGCATTATAAAATTAACTTAGTTTATAAAATATCACATGGTTTAGTTGTTACTACCTTTTCTTTTTCCTCTCAGTGAAGACCTGCTGCTGGGCACAAGAATCCACAGAAAATGCAGTCATTCTTATCAGATTTTCACATATTTGCAAATTAGCTCATGATTGCTTATTTCCTTCTTCAGAATCCCCATAAATCAGTAACCTTCTTATACAAGGAAACTATTTTTCCCCTCTCCCCAAACAACAGTGTAAAAAAATGGAGTCATTCTCTTTTACAGGTGGCTAATATTTGTCCTGCAACAGGTCCAACACATTCAGCTATGATTACTTTCTGAAAAACCTGTCTCTATCCAGACCATATTTCTATATTTTTAACAATGTTTTTCTAATTAGCTTTGTTGGTATTGATTTCACTGAAATATTTTATATTTTAATTCAACTTTTCTTTTTTAGCTATATTTTGGGGTGATATTGCCTTAGATGATGAAGACTTAAATATCTTTCAAATAGATAGCACAATTGACCTTACACAGAACCCCTTTGGAAACCTTGGACATACCACAGGTATGATTGATTGTTTAAGAAAATTTGTCTTCATTTTGGTGAAAATATACTCTTGAAATGCTATAAATATATTTCAATCATTTTTAGTCTCCTGTTAATCAACTTTGACTTCCTATACACAGATATACATATTTAGAAATGCAGGTTTTATTCACAGTTTTAATTTTATTAATTATTAAAATTATTATTTTTTACCAAACACGTTGTAGTATTTGCTACATACTAGGTCTGGTTTAAGTGCTTTGCAGATATTAACTCTCTGAATCTTCATAACAACCCCATTAGGGTAGATACTAATATTACTATGATTTTAGAATTTAGCGGATTGAGATTTAGAAGACTATATAGCTTTCTTATTGTCACATCATCAGGAAGTGGCCATGTCAGAATCAGAATTCAGTTCTGAGAAAAGCTAGATTTTATCCTCTTTAGTATTATATTAAGTTGCCTGTCATTTGGATATTGAGTTGCAAAATATGAATTATTCATAGGAAAATTACATAGAAACATATTTGGAAAATGTATATATCTATATAATTTTTGTGAAAAGCCCAGAAGGCCATTTTAATTTTAGTTGATTTGAACATGTTTAAATTATGCCTGTATGACACTTGATATATGTAAAAGATTATTTCAGTTCTCATTAAAAAAATTTAAATTAAAATTAAAAATTCATTATAGTATCTTGGTAAAACTTTTACTCTGTATAATATTTTGGAGAGAATTGCGAAGTTAGAAAGTTTAAATTTTTTTGTAGTTATATTAACAGCTACAACATTTATTTCATGTCATACTTTTGATTTCATTGCATTCTCCCTTTTTAGTATTTTTATTTTCTTCTATTCTGTGGAAAATATGATATGTAGTCCTTTCTGGTATCTAACATAAATATATATTAAGGACTTAAGAGTTTTTACTGTGACTTTTTACTTTGCCCTATTTATTTATTTATTCATTTTTTGCAACTCTTTTCTATGACCAGTTTTAAATATATAGAAATGTTTCTACATCCTTAGATTGTAGAATAGCAGTACTCTTCTTAGATTCAGCAGTTTTTAATAGTTTATTATTTTCACTGAGTGTGTGTGTGTGTGTGTGTGTGCACGCGCATACATGCATAAGTGTGCTTACAAAAAAATTTGAGGTCAATTTCAGGAAACACACCGTAATATTATTAGGTAGTCTAGCATGCACTTTGTAAGAATAAGGATATTATTCTATAGAATCAAAAACCGTGATCATTTATTTAAAATTGTAAGTATATAAGAGAGAGCCTAGGAAATTCATCTAAAATAATAACACATACTATTTAAAGATAGTGTGCTTTGTTGTTTGTTATGTTCTGAAACGTATGTCAATATGGGGGCGAATCTTGCTGTGCAGTGTCATCACAGATAGTGTATCCCGTAAATTATGTTTATTGCCCAAATATCCAGTTGCTGTATCTATCACCTGTAATGCTGTCATGGAGGCAACATATTCTGGAAAGTAGAGCAATGATATAACAATACACTGCTAGATTTATTATAAGTTGCATTTCCAGCTTCTTTTAAAATATTCATTAGCTCTAAGCTTTAAATCATTTCTTTGACTTGCCTTCTCCCATTAATTTGAAGGCATCCATTCTCTATGATTTAAAAATTTTTAAATATTGTTCTTTAATTTTATTTATTGTTAAACTCAGAGACTGTAACTGTTGGAAGAAAAAATGTTATTTTAGACATAGAATAAAACAGATTATACTGATAATAATAAAGACATTTATTCTGTCTGGATGCGGTGGCTCACATCTGTAATCCCTGCACTTTGGGAAGCCGAGGTGGGCAATCACCTGAGGTTGGGAGTTCAAGACCAGCCTGACCAACATGGAAAAACCCTGTCTCTGCTAAAAATACAAAATTAGCCAGGTGTGTTGGCACATGCCTGTAATCCCAGCTAGTCAGGAGGCTGATGCAAGAGAATCACTTGAACCCAGGGGATGGGCAAAGGTTGCGGTGAACCGAGATCCTGCCATTGCACTCCTGCCTGGGCAACAAGAGAGAAACTCCGTCTCCAAAAATAAATTATTTGAAATTCTTCTGTGGAAGGTACATGTTTGAAAGTTCAATAGTAACTTGCACTATTCAGTTGAATTTCAAACAATATAAGTATAGTTGTTACGTAATGGTCATTTCAAACATCACAGATGCCATGCTTTGAAAATGTTTCTCTTCATTGCTTAGGAATGAATGTATTTAAGTATTACCTCATCTTTCTAAAATGTGCAATGAAAAAATTTCAAAAATGTTTCTCAAGATGCATGGCAAAAATGTGGCCATGTAATGCAAGCAATTAAGTAGATTATTAGTCAGTGAAAAAGCATTCTAACTTATTTGCCTTATAAGGACTTATTTGATTTTTCTTTTAAGAGACTTATATGGCAATAGATGTTATTATTTTTTAGCTTTAATCTTGGTAATTATGTTCAGTATTAATTTTAAATAAAAAATAGATACTGGGAGGAAATAGTTCAAGTGATTTGTGAATAGTTTGTTTTCTTCATGGAATTACTGCTTTCTTTATGTTAGCCCAAAGATACTCTATGAACCATGCACACTCCGTGTTAGTACAAATTCATAGGCACTTTTTAACATGTCATTCATGGTTATATTGGTTGGTTGTTCAATGATAACTCTTTCTTATTTGTCTAATAAAAATTCAAGGACAACAGAGAAAAGAGGTGACAAAACTGAGAGCAGCATTTTATAAAAGCCCTGAATGATAATCTGGAGAAATGCTCTGCTTTCTGACTTAAGACAGGAATCTACCTTTTCTAGGTTTTGTTGGTAAAATTGCAAGAACACGTATTGCCTTATTTCTACCCTTTCTTATTCCTTTTGCACTACAGACTTTTTTTACACTCTGTGTTTTATAAATTTTTCAGATTACACAGTGTAACAGAATACATTTTGCAGCTGAACATTCGTTTGGATTCTTGTGGCTTTCTCCAAATTGTTATTGATTTTTATAAATTCAACTAGATTTTCAAAATGTGGTTGAATATATTGTTAAAATGTCATATGCTTTTAAAAATTTTTGAAATCAATGGAAGCTTCGGAGGAAAACTTGTACTACACATTTGCTCTTTTAATGTTTTTATTTCCATTTGCTTATTTGGCCTCTGAAAATATTCAGTTTGCATTGGGGAAATAGCTGGCATGCAATCAACAGGCAGAGCAACTTGCTGCCATTCTATGTAACACTATGTGATGTCAAGGTCACAGTAAAGAAAAACGTTTCAAATTATCAATAGATGACCCAATTGTCATGATGTCCAAATAAAATCATTTAAATTGCTCTCTGAGTCTCCCCATCCCCTTATTTTAGTTACCGACACTGGTTGCTGTAGAATTTTTACCCTCTTCAAAGATTCATGGATATTCATAATTTTAACACTTTAAGACCACATTAAAATGGCCAAAGAGAAATCAATGTTGCCTATGACTATTTTTTATTTGCAATAATTTTAACATATTTAACTTAATTTTTACCTTTTATTCTTTAAGGTGGACTTGGAGACCATGCTATGTCAAAGAAGCGAGGGGCCCTCTATCAACTTATAGAGAAGATACGAAGAATTGGCTTTGGTATATCAATGTTTAAAGTTGCAGACGCTTGACTTGATGTACAGTAAATATTATACTCATAGCAGTTCAGTTTATTAAAATCAGTGTGCCATTATTATGTGAACTATGTAAAGGATATATTCTAAAAATTTTTATTTTGTTAGCTAATATTTGATCAAAGCCTTTTAGAAATCATTTGGAATAATTTGAAATGTTTCTTTGTTTTAAGCCTCTCTTTGTTAAAACATGTATCAGGTGATTATTATATTATTAATACTTATATCCAGTCAATTGGGCATCACACCAAAGTATTTTTAGAAACCCTGGAGTTGCATCAATTGTAATCAAATGAAAAAATATCATGGTTATTTGTTTTGAAATAAAATCTACTTAAAATGAAAAAACTAATTACTGGATTAAAAAAGTTAAAATTTTTTGACCAATCAAAAAAATATAAAATAGTTATAAATGTATAGAACTATGATATACAACTATTTATAAAACTATTTATGATCATTTATATAAATCATATATTTAAATGTTTATATTTATATATTTATATGTATATTAATATATATCTTTATATATGTGTTTATATATATAAATATATACAAACATTCAGAAAAACTGTCTCTGGTTTTATAATTAGTTAATATTTACAGTATTGCATGTATTATAAGCTATTTGTAGATTTTAGAGGCTTTTTAAAAGTCCCATGTGCATAGCTCATATTCTAACACTCCTTAAATTGATGGATTATTAATTAATGCTCCAAGTACATACTTCCAAGGAATAATTTTCCCAAGCAAAGATACTTTGCTCTATTGAAAAGACAGATATGTTAGGGACAGAGTCCCTAGTTGTTGTATATACCAGTGGTAGGATATTCGTATTAACAGTGACAGATAAGAAAGAATAATCACGTAAATTTAGGAAAAACAGCAACAAAAATATCATGAAAGGCCACCAAGAAAAGGAAAAGGCTGTAGACTTGAAAGCTGCTTCAGAATAGAATGCATTTTGTTCATGTTGCGTGCTGACCTCTAAATCCTGCTGCAGACTTTAATCTGAATCCTGAAGAAACTGGAATGGAGATAGCTTTTGGTACAGGTGGCTGAGACCATGTCTGTCTTAATGTTACTTCATTTATTATTTGTATAATGTAATATTCAGAATTTTAAGCTGTGCTCTAGAATATTAGTTCAGATTTGAAGGATTAGGAACTAGCAGGAGTAACAAGAATCTTAAATATCATGGGACTTTATTAAACAAAATCTGTTCTAATTTTTGGTGAATTGTTAGTGAGCTATCAAGACAGGAAACAGAAAATAGATTTTTTTATGGCCTATAAGCCTGCCTGACTTCTATCCACTTAGTCTGTTGTATGGATATTAATCAAAAATTCAACAAAATACAGAATATTAAGAAATCGTATTTTGACATGAAATACATATTTTAGTGCTTTTTTCCAAGTATATCATATAACTGAAGTTTTTCTTAATGCATTTTGACTTCTAGCATTTATACAAAAAATAATGTAAATAAGACATTTTAACTTTTGTCTTTTAAGAGTTAAATGATTCCCTGACCAAGAACTTCTGTTTCACAGAATGTTTTAAATGTCACTGCAGGCTTGGAGCAAAATAACACAGTTAAGGGAAAAGTACCCCTTCAGTTCTCAGGACAAAATGAGAAAAATCGAGTTCCCAGAGCCGCTACATCAAGATCGGAAAGAATATGGCCTGGAGGCGTTATTCCTTATGTTATAGGAGGCAACTTCACTGGTAAGACACTCCCAGAGTGCCTGCTTTGATAAAGAATTAAAAACTTTCACACAGATTAAGTGTTTATTTTTATAGAATAGGATACATAGTATCAAGTCAAGGTTGGAAAATACTGCATTAACTTAGGTTATTAGTGTAGAGTGTCTGAAACTGAAAAAATATCTTTAGTCTTGTGTTCTAACAATTTGAAGCACTGTTGTGGTTTTTAAACGGAGTTGCAGATGTGCCTATTAAATTTGGAAGCTGATCTCTCTTCAACTGACAGGAAAAATGTATGTTTCATTTATAGAGCCTTGTAAACACATATTTGTGGAGATAGTGAGCTTTAGCCCTCTGATTATAAAGTGAGTGTCTGTTCTTAACAATGACTCATTTGTGGTGCCATAAACTAGTATTCTTTGGCTGATGATAGTGGTGGCATTCTGCACTGCTCAGCCAGACTTAGGGTAGAGGATCAGGCAAGAAGCATTCTTTCTGGGGCAGCCACTGTTTTATTAACATCACATATTTTTTCCAGGCAGCCAGCAAGCCATGTTCAAGCAGGCCATGAGGCACTGGGAAAAGCACACATGCATGACTTTCATAGAAAGAAGTGATGAAGAGAGTTACATTGTGTTCACCCATAGGCCTTGTGGGTAAGTAAACTAGGGGCTGACTTAGGGAAATAAAATTAAAAGGAAAAAAATTAAATGTCCACAGGTAAGATTTATTTCTTAAGACTTGCTTTGTATTTTGGCCATGAGAATGTCTGGATTTTACATTAAAAAATATTATATATTAGGTATGTGTATTCTTTGATAGCAGAAATCTGGGCATCTATTGCAAGGGTATTCTTTTCTACCACCACAGTTACTTTCTTTCTTTTTTTAAAAAATATATATTTTATTGTGTTTTAGGTTTTGAGGTACATGTGAAGAACATGCAGGATTGTTGCATAGGTACATACATGGATATGTGGTTTGCTGCCTTACTCCCCATCACCTATATCTGGCATTTCTCCCATGTTATCCCTGCCCAAATCCCCACCCTTCCTCTGCTGTCCCTCCCCTAGTTCCCTGCCACAGACCTCAGTGTGTGATGCTCTCCTCCCTGTGTTCATGTGTTCTCATTGTTCAACACCCGCCTATAAGTGAGAACATGCGGTGTTTGATTTTCTGTTCTTGCATCAGTTTGCTGAGAATGACGATTTCCAGGTTCATCCATGTCCCTACAAAGGACACGAACTCGTGGTTTTTTATGGCTGCACAGTTACTTTCTAACAGTGATGTTGCCAACGTCCCACTCACCTGAGCTAGAAACTTTAGTATAGTCGACTAGGGATTCTGTTGTGCTGCTTCTGTAATCTGTGCAGTAAGTTGCTATTTATAGTCACTATATCCTTTGATTTCAACTTCTATCCCATGTCAATGTCCTAGTTCATTCACATATTTATCATCTCACACCCGGTCTGTTCCATTTACTCTCCTGTCTTACTTCATCAATTCACTGTAATTAAAATTGTCTTCTAAAAATTCTGATCAGAGCAAGATACCACACTTTCTGAGATTCTTTGGTGTTTCCCCTTACCCTGGTGTTATCTAGATTTGCAGTGGTTCAGGCCGGTAATCCCAAAACTTTGGGAGGCCAAGGTCCAGACAATTGCTTTAGGCCAAGAGTTTAAGGCCAGTCAGGGCAACATAGCAAAACCCAGTCTCTACAAAAAATTCAAAAAATTAAATTGGCTTAGTGGCTCACACCTGTACTCCTCTAGCTACATGGGAGGCTGAGGCAGGGGGATCTCTTGAGCCCAGGAGTTTGAAGCTGCAGTAAGCCATGATGCCATGATGGCACCACTGTACTCCAGCCTGAGTGCCAGAGCAAGACTCCAAGCTTAAAAAATTCATTAATAGATAGATTTGCTTCTTACAGGATGATGACAAATACTTTCTAATGTATATGCCATACATATAATATTTAATATATATACTTTCTAATATATTACATATGATATATATACTTAAAGAATATATATACAAATATTTTCTAATATTGTATAATTTAACAGTGCTTTCCTGATTTACATTATTTATAGACAAATATTTTCTAATACATCTATTAGAGATATATGCATAGACACATCTTCCATAACTTGTAGATACATACCTATATGGAAAGTATTTTCTATATAATACATTATATAATACATTTGTATTATATCAAAAATACTTTCTATATAGGTATATATCTATAAGCTCAGTAGCTGGGCTTAAAAATGCATGCCACCACACCTGGCTAATTTTTGTATTTTTAGTGGAGACAGGTTTCACCATATTGGCCAGGCTAGTCTTGAACTCCTGACCCCAAATGATCCACCTGTCTCAGCTTCTCAAAATGCTGGGATTACAGGCATGAGCCACCGTGCCCGGCTACTTAAATGATGTTTAAATTATCAATACTTTCCTGATCGCCTACATGTAAAGTAGCTGGCTGGGTGTCATGAGGAACAGAGGTAAGTTACCCATTCTCATTGAGAAAGGCAGACATTTGGACAAGCTGTGGTCATATTACGATTACAGCTAAGGGTAAAGAAAAATCCCACTGTAAGCAGTTCAGGGATCGGTGAGAATGAAAGATGTGAAAGATTTCCACTGATTAAAAAAAAAAAAAAGATATAGGGATTCCAAGCAGCAAATGATCATGAGCAAAAACATGAAGATGTGATAAGATATAGATATATATCTAGATATAGATATATCTAAATAGATCTATATCTAGATATAGATATTAGTGCTGTGTTAAATTTTGATAGGTATTTTTACATCAGAGTGCTAATGTACATCATCTGTTTATCTTTATATATCTAAATATATTATAGATATATATTATAGATATATTTAGATATATACTTTATATCTAAATATATTATAGATATATATTATTATTTAGATATATATCTAAATAATAAGATATACCTAATGCATCTAAAAAAGATATATCTAAATATCTAGAGTCACTGGGACCCAGGAGGCAGAGATTGCAGTGAACTGAGATCATGCCACTGCACTCCAGCCTGGGCAATAGAGGAAGATTCCATCTCAAAATAAATAAATAAATATTTATTTTATTATGAATTAATACATTCATAATTAATTCATAATACATTTATTATGAATTAATAAACATTATGTAAATACATTGTGCATAATCCTCACATACAACAAAAGATGGTTAAGAATTTATATTTTGCACTGAAAAATTGTGAGACATTAAGGGGATATTTTACACTAAAAGACTGTGAGACATTAGGAGATATTTAAGGACATGTATTTCAATTATTTTAGAAATGTGAAAACTAAAGTTGTGCTTGCCCAAAAAATTTAAATCTGTAATTGCAGTCCTGAAGTTAGTCTCTTGAGTATTAATACATACATATATTTGTATTAATTAATATATACATCTATAGAGAGACGTATATAATTCACATAATATAAAATATATGTATTGATATATATTTGTACATGTATATACATATATGTATTAATGAATACATATATTTGTGATTTTTATCATAGTAATGCAGTAATGCTGATTTTCGGTAATTTATCTTGCTACTCATTTTACGGTTTGAAGTTTTCTCTGTGTTGTGTTTTTGGTGCTAGAAAGGATGATACTTTTATAGGAATTGAGCACTGGCTGGCAAAACATTATAATCATTCTAACTTCATTTGAAATTGTCATTATTGACCACAGTTTCATAAAACATCGTGTTTCACAATGATTTTTCTATGATAATGCCTCACTTAAATCTCATAAAAATTCATTTAAATTATTAATGATCTTGGTAGTTGGTGTGCACAACTACTTAAGCTCAACTAGAATAAGATGCTTGCCAAGTCAAATACATTAACATTCCTATTGGGCTTCAATATTGGGTCTTTTATCTCATAATAAAAAAACAATAATGTGGTAATAAATGTGTAGCATTTGACAATACCTAGTGTAATTGTTCATTGAGAGCCTGCAAAGTTGTGTCATTGATATTGATGGCAACATACATCAATTCTATTTCTAACTTTAATCTTATAAGAAACACATCTTACCACTTAATAATGCTTTAACCATTTTCATTTAGCTCTCCCACTAAGTTAGGCAACTGGTAACTTTTGCAAATTTTTAAAATCACAGCTAAAATAATTTTGACCATATTTATAGGAAAGGCTGTTATATATGAAACTGTCTGTCTTTTAGAACACTGAATATTATTTTCCACCTTATTCCACTGTAGTCTGCTCTCATTCAATTAAAATTTATTGATACATTTTCCATGTGAGGCCTTTAGTAGATGGGAAAGTAATAAAATATAATAAGCAAAATGTGGCGTTCAGAACCCTTTATCAGCTAGCTCCAGTGCATTTCCTCTTCTTAAATTGTATTAAAAGTATAGTTTGTATATGACCGTAGGCATGTTTGTATACAAAGACACATGCTTGTTTCTAAATATGTGATCTCTTTGATTCATCTTCAATGGGACATATGCTTTAACCCTCACCCTCATATTGATAAGGTTTGAACTGAGCTATAAGTATTGTTTTTACATTTGCATTTAATATAACAACATGAGACAACTCCGTTGCAGCTGATTAGCAGACTGATCATCAGACTTTCTCAGCTACTTACTCTTATAGAGACAGATAAAAGAGGGAAGTTCTCTAACTGCCTTATTTCTTCTTTTCCTTATTTTTTTCAACTAAGAATTTTTCAATGAATAGTTATTGTCATCAATGGCATTTATTTATTTTGCATGATGATTGATTAATATTAGCAAAATGTGAGATCATTTTATGACAGATTGATTTCATTCTTTGTGAGATATTTATATGTTTATTACCTCAGTCTATTATGTCACCTTATATAGTTAAACATATTCTATTTATATGACTTCTCTTATTTTATTAGATTTTTTTTTTTGGAACAATCTTACTTTTAAAAAAATCTACTTAGTTTCATGATTGCCAAAAAATAAACAAAAAAATTACAGTTAACCTGTTTAATCTTTAAATTTTATGTTCCAATGGTATTTAACTTTGTTCTATTTGGTTATTCAGGTTATAAAAGTAGACACTTTTTCATCCTATGCTTGTTGAATTCTCCTTTAGTCCTACTTACATACTAAGTTTTTGGAATATAAAGTTGAACATAAGATGTTTTCTCTCCTCAAGGAGGTTATGTATTTAGGCAGAGGAGGTATGCTAGCCAGGATTCTTCTTTGCAGACAACAGAGAGTGGCTAGCTTAAGCAGAAAAAAATAATTTATTAGAAGGTCTTTGTCTAGGAAGTTCCAAACTTTCCCACATCTTTCTGTCTTCTTCTGACCCCTCCAACTGTACCAAGCACTGCCCATTACCCAGTTCCAAAGTTGCTTCCATATTTTCCAGTATTTTTATAGCAGTGCTCCACTCCCAGTACCAATTTTCTGTATTAGTCTGCTTTCACACCGCTACAAAGAACTACCTGAGACTGGGTAATTGATAAAGAAAGAGGTTTAATTGACTCACAGTTCTGCATGTCTGAGGAGGCCTCAGGAAACTTACAATCATGGAAGAAGGCAAAGCAGAAAGAAAATACAAGGCAGCAGGATAGAGAGTGCAGGGTAAACTGTCACTTTTAGACTATCAGATTTCTTGAGAACTCCCTCATTATCATGAGAACAGCATAAGGGAAACCACCCCCATGATCCCCTTCCTCGATATGTGGGGATTACAATTTAAGAAGAGATTTGTGTTGGGACACAGAGTTAAACCGTATCAGCTACAAAGTTCGGCTAACTTTTAATTTTTTTTTTTTTTTTTTTTTTTTTTTTTTTTTTTTTTTTTTTTTTTAGATGTTGCCCAGGGTGGTCTCAAACTCCTGGGCTCAAGTGATTCACCTGACTCAGCCTTCCAAAGTTCTGGTATGACAGGCATGAGCTACCATGCTCAGCCCTGGAAAACCTATTAAATCAAAACAAAAAAGAAACTGAGTTATTTTAATGAAAAGACATGCGGTGATTAAGTTAAGTAATTGAAACTATTTCAAATATAGCACATGAAAAGGCAGAACCAGTTCTACCTTCATGGATGATCTAATGGATTAACTTCCAAAAGGGTTTTATTCCAAAGGGGTTTTGGTCTACCAAATACTGTTCCAAAGGGGTTTTGGTCTACCAACCCAAGGCAAAAGTAGAAAGTAGAATATTTTGATTTACCTGATTACCATCTATGACTCTTGGAGAGGTTAGGCTTTTCTGTTGATGGGGAAAGTTTTTGTTAGGCTACACAGGTAGACCTTAAAATGTCCAGACTTTAAAAGTGGCACACAAATGAGAAACAAAAATCCAGCAGCCATATACAATAAAATGGCATCAAATCTGGATGACATTAGAAACTAAGATAATATTTAGACATTTTAAAATCACATTGAAAAACTACACATTACCCTTTTCTTTCCATGACTAATATTTGTCTAAGCATATATGTAGTTATTTTCTTAATCTGAGAGTCTAGAATTCATCTGTCCCCCAGACCTTTAATTAGTCAGGGATCAAAACACCACATTTTTGTTTTATTCTCAGGACCATTGTAAAATAATACCTCTGAATAAGGCAGTGTGAAGTCTATTTTTTCTTTCCATTATAAAACCCCATCTTAAAGGAAATTGCTATGAGTGCAATTATGCTAAAAATGATGTTTTAGAGGAAATAAATTGACCACACTGATTTACTGTCTACCACATTTTGACTTGCAAAGAACTTTATTCTCTGAATGAAACCAGCAAGAATGACTCAATGTGGGTAACGTAGTTGCCGTGTAATCATCAGATACTTCAGTTTCATTACTGTTGATTTAAGGTAGCAACTATTTTAATTTAAATTTCTCCAAAATTTGAAAATTTTGTGTTTTTCTGCATCTAATACATTTTTGGGCATGTAATAAATATTTGAATATTTAATAAGTACTTATATATGAATTAAAGCATATTATTAAAAAAAACTGACTTGGGGTAAAAACAAACTTTACTGATTCCTCTTTCACCCACCAATGATCTCTTTCTTCTTTGTATAACTGATTTATTAAACTCAGTTAACTACTGTAATAAATGTATTAATAAGGAATACAAATTTGTTCATCTAACTGGTATAGTATGGATGAAAATACTTAGGTGTTTACAGCCTACAGAAACAATTAGAAAATTAAAAAATGGATAGGGGGGAGAGGGAGATAAGGATTTACGTTTGTGGAAAATCAGAAGGGCTGTCAAATACACTTACACCAGGAATTGAAATAATGAAATTCCTTTATTTATTTATTTATTTATTTATTTATTTATTTGAGACGGAGTTTTGCTCTTGTTACCCAGGTTGGAGTGCAATGGCGCGATCTCGGCTCACCACAACCTCCGCCTCCTGGGTTCAGGCAATTCTCCTGACTCAGCCTCCTGAGTAGCTGGGATTACAGGCACGCACCACCATGCCCAGCTAATTTTTTGTATTTTTAGTAGAGACGGGGTTTCACCATGTTGACCAGGATGGTCTCGATCTCTTGACCTTGTGATCCACCCGCCCCAGCCTCCCAAAGTGCTGGGATTACAGGCTTGAGCCACCGCGCCCGGCCGAAATTCCTTTTAATCATTTGGTCAATCAGTTTTTGACAATTTGCTCTTTCAGTTTAATAAATCCGACAAGGTGTTTGGCAATGCCTGGTGCATCATGATCGCAACTATTCAAAGCCAACTGTTTAGTGCCCTCTATTGCTGTGCTATTGACGTTATTTTAATTCACCACTGCAATATTATGCCATTTAAAAATTATTTTAAAGTGAGCATTCTGTGTGCTCAGTCTGTCTCACCCTGTGTTCCTAGAATATTTGGGACTATCACACACTGACACATGTACATGTGCCCCCCCCCCACACACACACACAGACACACACACACAGTGACTAAATGGAACTTCTATATTTTGGATAGAAAAACATCATTGAGATCGAGCACAGTGTTTCATGCCTGTAATCCCTCGCACTTTGGGAGGCCGAGGCAGGTTGATCACTTGAGGTCAGGAGTTCATGACCGCAATGAAACTCTGTCTCTACTAAAAATACAAAAATTAGCCAGGTGTGGTGGCAGGCACCTGTAATTCCAGCTACTCAGGAGGCTGAGGCAGGAGAATCGTTTGAACCTGAGAGGCGAAGGTTGCAGTGAACTGAGATCATGCCACTGTACTTCAGCCTTGGTGACAGAGCAAAACAAAACAAAAAAGAAAAGAAAAGAAAAACATTGTTGATATATGTATAAATATCAATCAGTTGACGAAAATTTGCAGAAAGACATTCCTGGATGTTCCACATTCTATTCGACAGTCCAGGAGATTCTTTCAGATGATGAAATAAAAAATCAGTCTAAATTATTAGATTGCTCATTTGACACAAATCACATAATATATCATTCATTTAGCTACTACTAGTTGTTGATTTTTCTTCACTACATGTCTCAGTCTGATCAGGCTGTTATAACAGAATGTCACAGACTGGGTGGCTCTTAAACAACAGACATTGATTTCTCAGTTCTGGAGGCTGGGCACTGCAGAACTGGTGTCTGGTGCACAGATGGATGTGAGATGTGTTTTTGCTGTGCTCTCACATGGTACATGGAGTCAGGGGAGCTCTCTGGGGCCTTTTTTTATAAAGGCACTGATCTCTTTATAAAGGCAGAGCCCTCATGATCCCCTAATCACCTTCCAAGGGCTCTGCCTTCAAATACATCATCATGAAGATCAGGTTTCAACATATGAATTTTGGGGGAACATAAGTATTCAGTTCCTAACACTAGTTAACCATTAACTTCCAGTAATTCATCTTTTGAAAATAATTTTTTCTTTTCTTTTCTTTTCTTTCTTTTTTTTTTTCTTTTTTTTTTTTTTTAAGAGACAGGATCTTGCCCTATTGCCCAGACTGGAGTACAGTAGTATGATCCTAGCTCACTGCAGACTCAGACTCCTGGGGGCTCAAGCCATCCCTCCACCTCAGCCTCTCAAGTAGCTAGGACTACAGGCTTGCACTACCATGCCCAGCTAATTTTTAAATCTTTTGTGGAGATGGGGTCTTACTATCTTTCTTAAGCTGGTCTCAAACTCCTGACCTCAATCAGTCCTCCCAGGTTGGCCTTCCAAAGTGCTAGGATTACAGGCATGAGCAACTGCAACCAGCCAAAAATAATTTTCTTCAATTAACTTCTTTGAAACATTTCTTTTATAAAAATATTCTTCCGTGAGTAGAAAAAGTAATTTCTTTTTTTTTGATTAACCAACATCTTTCATAAATAAGCTTAATTCTGTTTTTCTCAAAGAGGAAAAATGAACTTTCTTTAATTTTATATCTAATACTTAAATGATGCTGAATTATTGTCAGATGGTCACACTGACAAAGTAATAACCTAGTAATGAATATGAATTCTGAGGATAAAATTATATTAGAAATAAATATGTATGTATGTCTTCAGCTTAAGTATATGTCTTCAGTAATACATCGTCATCATCATGATTATTTTCTTATCTGATGTATTTCTGAATGCTTCTAAAATGATGTAAGCATATTTCTAATATATAGTAATTACAAAAACACTTGAACTGATTATTTGGAAACTTTTGTTATACTTAAATTTGAAAGGATACCAGAAACTAGACATATGTGGTAATAAAAGTTATTCTGCCTCTGAATGTATGGGACTTTATAGCTCATCACTATTCTTTATAAAAAATTTACCATATTGTTAAGTTGTCTGGCACAACCTTTCCACCACCATCTCCACTTTCTCTTTTATTCCAGATGCTGCTCTTATGTAGGTCGGCGGGGAAATGGACCTCAGGCAATCTCTATCGGCAAGAACTGTGATAAATTTGGGATTGTTGTTCATGAATTGGGCCATGTCATAGGCTTTTGGCATGAACACACACGACCAGATCGAGATAACCATGTAACTATCATAAGAGAAAACATCCAACCAGGTGAGAGGCCTAGGATGTGTTGGGTTCAAGGCTGACTGGGTATCTTTGAATCATAGTTATGTAGTTTATTCTTTCACTTTCCCAAAAATGTAAACTTATATTTTTGATATAACAGAGTAACATTTTCTTTGATTAAAAATTACCTGTGATGATTTTATATTTTAATTTTGTTCCTGGAGACTGTGTGAGTTCATGCATTTATTGGACTTGCTTTCTTTTATAAGATTTAGCTGTTTTATTTCTGAACTTCTGTGCCTTCCAAGTATGGGCGTGAGCTATTGAACCATAAATTAAAATTATTAAATGCTTCTTTTTTACTTGAGCATTTTTGTCCTTAGTTCTATAATTTATGTTATAGGGATTTTAAAAGGACCCAGGGTTTGCCATAAAATGTGCTGCTACCATAGGAATCTATGTTATACCAGGTACAATTTCTGGAGAAAATTCCAGTGAAATGAGTTATTTCCAAGCTAGTATAGTTTTTTTTTTTTTTCCCTGAGGTTTTCCACTTAAAGCTGACTACCCTAAAGACAAATTTTTAGGAAAGTTTTCAGTAATTGATATATAATTTCTAATTAAAATCCTTATTTCTCTGATACTTGATATTTGATAGCAGCCTCATTGTAAGACTTTCTATTTAACTTTTATGTGCATAAAGATCAGTTTATTTCAGTTGCCAAAAAATATTCTGTTGTTTGGAATTTTCTTGTAAGGTATAAGCATGTATTTTAAGCATATCCAAAGTAAAAATGTGTTTTGTTACAAAGAGTGAATTCCTTCTGTAAGTAACAGTACTGATCTCTTTATTTGCTCATTATATATTTGGTGCCAATTATTTATGAGGTCAATATTAGGTGTTGAAGATATTGTCATGAAAAATACAAACCTTAGTGTGGGATATATGTGTATATATATATGATTGCAAGTGAGTGAGAAAGTGACAGTAGTTAGTAATATACGTTGAGAATAGTGTAGAGTCCAAGCAAAGCATAACAAATAGTGCCTTAGTGAGTCAAGGGAATCGTAAAGGATGGAAATTTAAAACTTAAGTAGAAATATTTCAGGTGGACAGAAGAGTGATTAAATTTCAAGCTAAAAAAACTTCATGAGAAAATCTATAATTACAGAAAACTGAATTATTTTTATCTGACCATTATGGTTGATGGTAAGTCACGAGTGTGGGATTAGTTCATATCTTATCATTTACTTAGAGAAGATTCTCTATGATGTAAACCTCGGGAGACAATTCGGGTTTTATTCTCTAGTTACTGGGGAATACTTGAAGGATTATAAACAGGAAAAGTTCAGATCAAAATAAAGAGAACTCATTTTCACAGTCAGTCTTAGAGCAATCATTAACTGGGTATGGGGAGTGGGAAATGCCTGAAGTCTGGGAAACCTAATAGAAGCCTACATGAGTAGGCATGAGAGGTGACTAGGTTCTTAGTAAGGGTAGCACATGTCAAGAGGAAGAAGAGAAAATAGTCTTTCAAAAAGATTTTAAGAGGAATATCATCATGTGAGGGGAAATCTTCAAAAGTTTTCTTTTTAGGCAACAAGATGACTGTTAGTACCATCACATGAAACATTGAAGATATTGAAATATTGATAAAGCAACATATTTTTGAGAAAGAGAAAGGCAATTAATGATTCCATTTAGCATATCCTCATATTTTAAAAGGCTTTGTATGATCCTTATTTTTAAGAGAAAGGAAAGGTGAGTCTGGACTTCAGGATGTATCTAAAGATAAAATATCTAAAGATAAAAATTTGGTATATATTTGACTAGGGAAAAACTGGAGGGAGAAGAAAAAAAAAAGGTCTAGGGTAAAAAATGGGTAAAAACAATATTTAAGGAATATTTAGTAGAGTATGTCCTAAAAGACTAAGAAGGTATTGCCTAAAAGGTAAGAGAAAAATCAGTGGAATGTGGTGTCCTAGAAGCCAAGGAAATAAGTAATTTTGAGAAAGATGAAGTAATCTACAGAGTTAGATACCAAAATAAGTACGAAAAATGTATACCCGCCTATATAGAAGACTCTAATTTATAAGTAGACCATCAAGATTCATCCTATGTATCTCTTGGTGGGAAATGAAAAGAAAATAAACCTGAAAATTATTTCAACTACCACATAAATGGTAAATTGGCTGTTAACCAGAGTTATTAGTGTCCTCTATTTGCCAAACATTGTATTATCTGAAAAAAAATTATAAAAGATGTAATTTTCAAAAATGGTTCTTACTCTTAAAAATAGGACCTTGTTTCAATATAAATATGTATCTAAAACAAGGAAAAAGTATATATAATATGTAGTAAAAATAAACATATAATCCTAAAACCATGCTAAGCGAATTATGGCTTTTAATATTTTCTTTTGACTAAACATTACAGCCAATAGAAAAAAGATTACTGAGTGAGATTTCTTGCATAATGCGAACCACTGTAACAGAGCAATTCCAGTATGAAAATGTTCATGTTGGAGAGTAATCTTCAATAGATTTATGATTTGCTGTCACTCAGGCACTTAACATCAAGTCTTACTCAAGGATGATGTCTAATAAGCACAAACTTTGGCTTTTTATTTATATGCAAAATTAGTGATTATGATAGGAACCAAATTGATACAAAGATTAGATTACTCTAATCCATGTTAGAATATGCTTTTAAGAAGGATGCCTGCCATTTTTAAAATTGTCGAATGTGATTTCCGTTAGTGCTATGTATTTATTTCTTTTTCTCTCTTTCATGAAGTATGTCTAATTTTCTGTTATTTGGACTATGTACAGCAATGTTGTTTTTAACTAACAAAAAATATTGTGTCCTATACCTGTTAAGACCTCAAGTTAGATGTATTAAAATGTATTCCTAAAGTTGCTTAATGTTCTACTTTCAGAAATTTTTATGGAACATTTTGTTTTAGTTAGAGAATCTGGATCCATATTATGCTCTAAATTGAAATCTTACAGGTTAATAAATATAAAATACATGGCTTTTAGAAAATCTGATTTTAGATTTGTTATATTAGACTTCAGATTCCTTACTCCTTTTTATTGTATTGTATTGTATTTTATTTTTAAGATGGGGTTTCACCGTGATGACCAGGCTGGTCTTGAACTCCTGGGCTCAGGTGATCCACCCACCACGGCCTCCCAAAGTGCTAGAATTACAGGCATGAGCCACCGCGCCCAGCCTAGACTTCAGATTCCTTATGAGACAAGAGTTTTAACAGTTGCCTCTATCATGGGTTGAAGAGAATGTTGAATATTTCCCAAGAATGGTCATAATATAAATGGACTTATCAAAGATTTGTGGAGCACATATTTCATTATAAGGTTTGGTTAGTTAATTTTAAATTAAGTTGTGTAAATTTATTAAAATATAGACTAAAACACTTTGGTCTGGGACTTGGGTTCTTTAACTCCCAGTTGATTCTTCATTCTTAATTTTCAGGTGAATACCCCAGATTTCCTTTATCACATGAGACATCACTCAAGGAAAACTCTTATTAATGTGATCTTTTATATTTAATTGAAATATGGCAATTGGAATAAAAACCTAGGTGGACGAATGGCATAATAGTCCCATTTTTAGGCCCAAAATTGGATTTGGAATTCCAATAGCATATCTTTCTTTATATTTTGTTGTTTCAAAGCTTTTTGTTACATAAGTGATATGATTTGCACAACCTTTAGCTACTTTTAAATTGTGAAACCTGAGTCACTAAAACTTAAACTCTCTTTGAAGGAATGTTCCTTTCTGGAACCATTGAATTTAAGTTTGTGTTCTTTTCAGATTTTGAGAAATAATGTTACAATACAGATATAAACAGGCAGTTGAAAAATCTATTAAAAATGAAGATGTCCAGAAGTTAAACTAACAGATATGGAAATTTTAAAAAAATTAAGTTCTTAAGCATGTTCTTCTTAATTTCAAAGTAGAACTGCCTTTTCATCACGAATAAACTTGTTTAATTTTTAAATGAAAGTAGAGAATTTGCTGCTATTTTTATATCTTGAGTGATGAAGTCATGAAGCTAAAGCCCACAGAGCTCTGTTTATACTAATATTGTTTTTGTATCTTTTTACATTGTTTCATAGAAAGGAATTAAACCAAATAGGAAGATAATTTTTTGTGAGAACTGGCAAATCTAGTCATAAAAATTGGAAACTCCTTAGATGAAAATGTAACTTTTTATAATTATTTCTATATTACCAAAAATGCAGTAAGATTTTAGAGAAATACATATTATGAGGTGTTAAAAGAGCATATATATAAAACAAAGTCAGTATATGCTTTTTGGTAGTTCACCTTTGTGCAGAAGTTAACACTTTGTTTTAATTCAATATTGCTTTTCGACATGATGGTAGAGTGAAGACAGATGCTTTTTGTATGTGCTTGTGTGTTTGTATGTAAATTCAATCAGCAAGATCATTTCACAAAAAGCAGATGCAGGTGTAGGAAAGGCCTTCTGGTCTCTTTTCTGTTAGTTAAAAGATTTCTGAGATTTTGTTTATCCCTGGTTCTTAGGTCAAGAGTACAATTTTCTGAAGATGGAGCCGGGAGAAGTAAACTCACTTGGAGAAAGATATGATTTTGACAGTATCATGCACTATGCCAGGAACACCTTCTCAAGGTTGGAGTCTCAGGTTATACCTTTTGACTTTTAATTCCTTTCCTCCATTTGGCTACTCACAAAGCTATGCCTGACATTAGAACTAGAATTACTTTCAAATATTGCTGCCTCACCACAGAAATAAAGTAGAAAAATAATTGATGAACATTTATAGACAAGAGCAAGTATTGAAAATGTATTTTTACATTCTCTACTAGATGCATGAATTTAAAGTGATAAGATGGTATAAATTATGTAAACAATTTTATATTTCTAAATCATTAAAAATTTGAATTAAAAGCATTACCAAACTAATCAGCACATTAAATTGGCAAAGCTTTGTTTAATGAAAATTGGATATTCGTAAGTTAAATAGATTCTCTAGCAGTTCAGTTGGAATGTCACAATCTTTGTGACTTGTGCTTTATACTGTGTATTTTCTACTGCTCAAGTACAACTTAAGCTCAAAAATTGATATTACTAAATGAATTGTTAAATAACATATTAGAAAGGTATTTTATCTCACATAATTTAGAATTATAGTTCATTACTCATTAATGTTACAATTATATCATTAATGACTTAAAGCTACTTTTAAAGAATGCAATAAATTTGGGTTTTGATATACTCCATTCTAAAGATGATGTCATCAGGCAAATAGTTCCCAGGTAAGGAATTTGGAACTGTTAAACTATTGAATTCACCCTTTTTTCCATTTATGCCCATTTTACGCTCATATGTCATTTCAACTTTTTTTTTTTTGCCCACTTATGTCCATTTCACAGTTGATTAACATCTATTTCTGAAGACAAGGTGAGGAAAAGGGAAAAATATTCAAATGTATTAACCTGTTTTTGCAAAACTTTCTTGGTAAAAAGTAGAGAAGGATGTGTTAAAGAAACCTTAATACTTGATATATTTATTATCTATTTTTGCCAAATCAAAGTTTATTATTTAGAAAATTTATGTCATCTGTATTTTTAAAATTACTCTTTTCTAAAGTACATGATTTATAGACATACACACTTATTTGTTAAAATATAAGTAACTGTCCAAATTACTATTTTTTTCTAGAACTTGAATTTAAGCTTTTAATATACATATATATTTATTTTATTGTACTTTAGATTCTGGAGTACATGTGCAGATCATGCAGAATTGTTGCATAGGTACATACATGGCAATGTGGTTTGCTGCCTATATCTGGCATTTCTCCCCATGTTATCTCTCCCCAACCTCCCTATCTGCTACTGTCCCTCCCAGAGTCCCACCCAACAGACACCAGTGTGTGACACTCCCTTCCCTGTGTCCATGTGTTCTCATTGTTCAACACCCACCTATGAGTGAGAACATGCAGTGTTTGATTTTTCTGTTCTTGTGTCAGTTTGCTGAGAATGATGGTTTCCAGATTCATCCATGTCCCTTCAAAGTACATGAACTTACTGTTTTTTATGGCTGCATAGTATTCCATGGTGTTTATGTAACACATTTTCTTTGTCCAGTCTATCATCAGTGGGCGTTTGGGTTGGTTCCAGGTCTTTGCTATTGTAAACAGTGCTGCAGTGAACATATGGTTCATGTGTCCTTATAGTAGAATGATTTATATCCTTTGGATATATACCCAGTAATGGGATTGTTGGGTCAAATGGAATTTCTATTTCCTTCCTTCACTGTCCAATGTAAATTAGTTCCACAATAGTTGAACTAATTTACATTCCCACCAACAGTGTAAAAGTCTTCCTGTTTCTCCATATCCTCTCCAGCATCTGTTGTCTCTAGATTTTTTAATGATTGCCATTCTAACTGGCTTGAGATGGTATCTCAATGTAGTTTTGATTTGCATTTCTCTAATGACCAGTGATGATGAGCATTTTTTCATATGTTCGTTAGCTTCATAAATGTCTTCTTTTGAAAAGTGTCTGTTCATGTCCTTCACCCACTTTTGAATGGGTTGTTTTATTCTTGTAAATCTGTTTTAGTTCTTTGTAGATTCTGTATATTTGCCGTTTGTCTGAAGGGTAGATTGTAAAAATTTTTTTTCCATTCTGTTGGTTGCTGATTCACTCTAATGACTGTTTCTTTTGCTGTGCAGAAGCTGTGGAGTTTGATTATGTCCCATTTGTCTATTTTGGCTTTTGTTGCCAATGCTGTTGGTGATTTGGTCATGAAGTCCTTGCCTATGCCTATGTCCTGAATGGTTTTGCCTAGGTTTTCTTATTGGGTTTCTATGGTGTTAGGTCTTATTTTTAAATCTTTAATCCATCTGGAGTTAATTTTAGTGTAAGGTGTCAGGAAGGGGTCCAGTTTCTGCTTTCTGCACATAGCTAGCCAAATACGACACCAGTAACTTGACTTTAAATTAATTATAAAGAGTTACAGAATTTTATTTTCTGGTAAAGAAATTTTCTTGGAATGGATTTTTCCATAAAACATGTAACAGATGAGGATTTGGGTTCCAGTTCAGTTAAAATCCCTTTCTTCTGCTACTGAATTATATTATTTAGAACTAATCTGAGTTTTGGTTCCTTGGAACAGAGGAAGTACTGGAGAGTAGAGAAAAACAGTTTATTCTTTCTGGCCCTCATGGATGATAAACGTTTAGCAAAGTTCAAAATGTGTGTTTCCTCTTATGCTATACTCTTTTTCCATATAACATTGCATATTTTCCCATAAATTTATCTGCTCTTGTTGCCCATACTCCACCTCCTTCACACCTGCTTTTGTGTTGAATGCCAATCCACTGTTACTTATTACTTAACCTATTGTTTCCAAGCCATCCTATGCATTTGTCATAAATAAACTCAACACTTCTACTGTACAGAAAAACACATAACATAAAATTTACCTATCTTAACCATTCTAGGCATACAAGTCAGTAGTGTTATTAAAGGATATTGATATTATTGTGAAACAGATGTCCAGAACTTTTTCACCTTGCAAAACTGAAACTCTATACCTATTAAAGAACTTTCCGTTTCCACCTCTCCTCAGACCCTTGCAGTCACCATTCTATTTTCTGTTTATAAATTCCACTACTTTTGATATTGTATATAACTAGAGGCATACAGTATTTGTCCTTTTGTGATTGGCTTATTTCAGTCAGCATTATTTCCTCAAGGTTGGTCTATGTTGTAGCATGTGAAAGTATTTCCTCACTTTTAAGGCCAAATAATATTTCATTGTAAATATATGTTACATTTTGTTTATCTTGTCATCTATCAGTGGGCATTTGTGTAGCTTCTGGCTCTTGTGAATTAATGCTGATATGAACATGAGTGTGCAAATATCTCTCAGAGACACTGCTATTAATTCTTTTGGTTAGCTACCCGAAGTAGGATTGCTGGATTATATAGTAGTTTTACTTTTAACTTTTAAGGAACATCCAGACTCTTTTGCATAGTGTTTGCACCCTTTTAGAATTTTATCAAAAGTACATGTGGGCTTCAATTTCTCTTAATCCTAATCAACACATTACTTTTTGTTATTTGAATGTTAACCATTCTGGTTGTGATGTCATATCTCATTGTGGTTTTGATTTACATTTCTCTGATGAATAGTGAATATCTTTTTATATACTTGGTGGCATTTGTATATCATTTTTGGAGAAATCTTTATTTAAGTCCTTTGCCCATGTTTAAGTCAGAATAATATTTGATTATTTTGTTGTTAAGTAGTAGAAGTTCTTTATATATTCTGGTTATTAACCACTTATTTTATATTATTTTGTTGTTAAGTAGTCGAAGTTCTTTATATATTCTGGTTATTAACAACTTATTTTATATGATTTGGAAATATTTTTCCCATTTTGTAAGTTGTCTTTTCATTCAGTTGACTGCATCCTTTTATGTACACAGTGTTGCATGTCTGATGTCATCCTATTTGTCTATTTTGGTTTTATTGACTGTGCTTTTTGTTTCATATTCAAGAAATCATGGTTACATCCAATGCCATGAATCTTTCCCCTTGTATTTTATTCTAGGATTTGTATAGTTTTGGGTCTTATGTTTAGTTATTTAATGCATTTTGAGTTAATTAATTTTTTTTTTTTAAAAAAGCTTGATTTTATTCTTCTAAATGTGGATATCCAGTTTTCTCAGCATCATCTGTTGAAAAAAACTGTCATTTCCTAATTGAGGGATCTTGGCACCCTTGTTAAAGATAACATGATCATGTGCATGGTGGTTTATTTCTGTACTCTCTATTTTATTTTGCCGGTCTATAGGTCTGCTTTTATACCAGTACCACACTGTTTTTACTACTGCAGCTTTGTGGTATGTTTTGAAATCAGTTCTGCAAAGTTGGAGTTTGAATCTTTCAAATTTTTCTTCTTTTTTCAAAACTGTTTTGGCTATTTGGTATCTCTTGATATCATATCTGATTTTTAGGTTAAAATTTTCTATTTCAGCAAAACATATTGTTGAGATTCTGATCGAAATTGCATTAAATATGAGATGACTTTGGATGTATTAACATCTTAACAGTGTTAAGTGTTCCAATTCAGGAATAAGGGATCGTCATCTCTTCTTTAATTTCTTTCAGCAGTGTCTTTAGCTTTCAGTATAAAAGTCTTTCACTTCTTTGGTTAAGTTTATTTCTAAGTGTGTTTTTTGATACTATTATAAATGGAATCAATTATGCACAAACTCTCACTTTTGATGGTCAATTCTCATAAATCACTAGCTATACTTTACTGCTTTCTTTTCAGATAGTGTACATGGTTAGATTGTATAGTAAAGAGTTCCAGTCTCCCTATTTGAATTAGTTATATCTAAAGATCAGAGCCCTTTCCCTTACCTAGGAGCTATGGTAGTTAGTGATAAAATTACTCATAAATCATATTACCATTTTCCTGTAGATTAACAATTGTCCTCAGAGTAAAAGTTAAATTATCTGGCTGGTGCTCAGACATTTTAGGGGTCCTCTTATTTCTGAGATGTTGTGTTTCTCTGGAAGCTGTACAGCCAGTTACCTATATTTCTCTGATCTTCACTTTCTTCACGTGTGACTAAAACATCAACTTTCAAGTGAGTTTTTCTTTGATCACTCTATTTAAAAGCAGCCCATCACTGCACAATCAACATCCATCTTCTCACCTTTATTTTTCTCCATAGTACTTATTACTACCTGAATTATCAATCCTTTGTTTAATGTCTCTTTCTTCATATTTGAATACTAGAATCATAGAGGAAGGAATTTCTGTTTGTTTTATTTACTGCTATAAATCCAGACCTAGAACAGTGCTTAGTATTTCCTAATGGACGCTAAGTAGAGCTAAAATGCTGTTCTTTTTAATACAAATGTCAGTTTAAATGCATTTATGTTCATTTATTCATTTTGGAAAGAAGTGTTCCATCATAATCTCAATATGAAAGGTATTATAACATTTTATTTTTTAATTTTAAATATTTTTATAAAAAGGTTTTTTGTTGTTGTTTGTTTTTGGTAAATCCACATACACACAACCCTTACTTCTCAAACCCTTGGAATAGCCTCCCAGTTTATTTAACTTTTAAACTCCTGCTTCTTTAGGGCTATAAATGTTTGACATACATTAAAATAAATAGAAAGTACTGTATTCAGAACTTTAGGTCATGTATATTAGGAAAAATTAGTGAATATTTTGCCACAATGTTGAGTCCCAACAGCTATCTATAGTTTAACATTATTAGGGCATTGATTAGGTTTTCTTATTTATTAATTTTACCATGAAAAATTGAAAACATTTGCTTTAAATCGCCCTAAGTTTTGGCATTCTTTATTTTTTTTTTCTTTTGACATTTGCTATAATACTTGGACTTCTATGAATACTTAGGTTAAATTAATAGTTTAATTCAGAAAAATTCACCTATGTGTATTTTGTTTGACTCTTACAATTTTAGTAACCTCAACATTATTTATTGTAGGTTGCTATTAGGGAAATAGACCTCTATGCGGAATAATTGTTTTGCAACCTGGTAATCTAAGGAATTCTTAGATCTGCTTGGGAAACCAAAAGAAATGTCATGGTGTACTTTGTGGGGGATTATAAGGTATTCCATATTTTTAAGAACATATATGTTTCTAGGAAAAAAAGAATGTCATCATTGATTTTATACTAGGCATACACATTTAACATGCATAATTTTTTTCTACATCGATGAAAGTGTTTTGAAAGCCTGATACACTGTTTAAATCGCCCAAGGTGTATTTCTCCTTTGATTGACTTGAGTTTGAAATAAATAATTTTATAATTGTAAAGACTGTATGAGTTTTCATTTGGTGACTTAGGTGTGGTTTGCTTCTTTTTTTTTTTTTTTTTTTTCAGAGGGATGTTTCTGGATACCATTCTCCCCTCCCGTGATGATAATGGCATTCGACCTGCAATTGGTCAGCGAACTCGTCTAAGCAAAGGAGATATCGCACAGGCAAGAAAGCTGTATAGATGTCCAGGTATTGCACCACACAAACACAAGAGCATCGTTGTGCTTGATTGCACTCTTCCAGATGAACAAGCCACAATTTAATCAACTGTTTTATTTGTCTCACTCCCTGTTGGCAAGTGACATGTACAGTTCAAAGTCAGTAATCATAAAATGAGGCAGAAGAGAACTCTGGAACACCTAATTGCTGTAAATTAAAACAAGTTGTTGAAATTAAAGTTCAAGCACAGGGAGAGTATGCTTTATTTTTTTTAATTTAATGAGTGAAAGAGCAAAATAGAATGGTTGCTTAATAGTCATTAATTAAGTAGTTGCATGATTTCGTAGTCAAATACTAAGTTTCCTTTCTAACATAAAAGCATATCCCTTATTTGAACTTCAGAACTGGATCCTGGATGATCTTTTCTTGCAAGTACCATCATTAATGGCATATATATTACAATTTTATCAATAGGAATATATAACTTTGTTGTTAAAAAAAAATGTTCTAACCAGTTGCAAGTGAACTACTCTATGTTTTTCCCCTAAATAAAGTTTCAAAAGCAGATTCATGAAAGGTCTTAATGTTCTAAGGGAACACTATGTTTTCATGGCCCAAGAAAGAAAAAGATTCTGTTTTCCAAATTAGAAATCTAGACTCTATGCACCTCCAGTGTACTCACAATATTTGAAATATCCTACAGCAAACAAACATGTTTAACTTTGTACAACACAGTTTTTCCAAATTATGTCTCCGAGGAAATCTTCTTTTTCCCAATGTTTACTTGTAAAATTTACTTTTGGAAGTATTGTTCTACATACCTAAGATTGTAGATATAATAAAATAATCACTGTAAAAGTTCTAATTGGTTATGAATTTGATAATCTTTGCAGATAAATGATGAATATCTAAATTGTTGGAGTTTTATATAGATAATTGTTTATGTTTATATATTAAGTTATTGGAAAAGTCATATTACTTAAATTTTTATAATTTCTGGTGTCAGTTCAGGGAACTTTTCATTTTGGCTATAGGAGAGGGCTAGCTAATTCATCTTAAAAATTGAATATGTACACATTGACATACAGTATAGAGCCCTTATGTTGAACAGAGAAAGCCTCAAGTGCAAGCAAGAAAAAGTGAATTGGTTGAATACTCCCAGGAAATACCTAAAAAGTTCATAATTCAGTATGAAATGGTACTTAATTCATTGATTCAACCCAATGGATTCTGTTGACATTTCTGCTGAGAGAAGGGATTTCCTATTCCTCAGTACTAGATTTGTTAAAGAAAATTGTAAGAAATTCTGTTTTTTTCAATTTTACTGTAATTATTAGTTTTCTTTTAACTTAGGACTATTAAGTTTTTAGAAGGGCAGTTGATATTTTCAGAATTTAAAGCTGTATGTAAAACCTTTTACATCATAATGATTCAGTATTGATAGTGAGTTTTCAAATCTTTTTCTATATAAATATATCTAATTGTCTGCTTATCTAATTTTTCTATGTACCAAAAGACATTTCTACTTAATATTCATTAATTTACTTCATACTGCTTACTTAGGTTGCATTCATATTTATATAAATGCCTTTAAAATGTTTTATGTATGCATGTAAGATATACATGTATATGTGGTATCTTTTTTAAAATTCAAATTTCCATTAAAAATGAATTTATAAGAGAATGATACCACTATGACAAAAGATATGGGTGATGCTTGACTAATGTCCAGTAACATTGGGCATATATTTTTTAACTTTTAAAAAGCAAAAATTATTTGATTAGTAGCAACTACATAAATGAACACTTTGTGTATAAAACTATCTTGATTATATCTCTACATGTAAGACTATATACACTACATTTGAGAAGTACACTGGAGATTCATATGCACACTGAATTGTAGAAAATTCAGGAAGAATAAAAAACTAACCTTATGATACTGTAATTTAATTTTTAGCCTACAATTCTTGGATATTTCAGTTATAAACAGGAAGATTATTAGAAGCATAGTTTCTACTTTAGATTTCAATTGTATAAAATACATTAATGGGCCATTTTCTTACTTGAAATATAGAAATAATGTATACATTATTTTGTTTAATACAGTAAAACCACATTTATGAAAGCACTATGATCTGTGAAAAAGATATTTTATGTTTCTGAAACAGTATAAAAAACAAGTTACTGTATTACAGCTAATAAAATAACTGGAGTAAGTGACATAGAAATGTAAATATATATATATATATATATATATATATATATATATATATATATACATTTATATACACACACACACACACACACACACACACACACATATGTTCTAGTGTTAACTTTTAGTTTACCAAATCTTTGTGAATGATTTTTTCTTCTTGGCCTTTTTTTTCAACTTTTATCTTAGACTCAAGGGTTACATGTGCAGGTTTGTTACCTGGGAATGTTGTGTGATGCTGAGGTCTGGGCTGTGAATGATCCTGTCACCCAGGTTCTAAGTAGAGTACCCAATAGGTAGTTCTTCCAACCTTGCTGCCTTCCACTGTCTCTCCTCTAGTAGTCCACACTGTCTGTTGTTCTCATCTTTATGTCCATGCATACTCCATGTTCAGCTCCCACTTATAAGTGAAAATACGTGGTATTTGGTCTTCTGTTCCTAAGTTAATTCACTTCAGATTATGGCCTCCATCTCCATTCATGTGGCTACAAAGGACATGATTTCATTCCTTTTATAGCTGTGCAGTATTTCATGGTGTATATGTATCACAGTTTCGTTATTCAATCCACCATTGATTAACATCTAGGTTGATTCCATGTCTTTGCTATTGTGAACAGTGCTGCGATGAACATAACAGTGCATGTGTCTTTTTGGTGGTACAATCTATTTTCCTTAGGATATATGCTTAGTATAAGATGGCAGGGTTGAATTGTAGTTGTGTTTTAAGTTCTTTGAGAAATCTCTAAACTCCTTTCCATGATGGCTGAACTATTTTCTACTTCCAACAACAGTGTGTAAGCATTCTCTTTCTCCACAGCCTCACCAGTGTCTATTGCTTTTCATCTTTTTAATAGTAGCCATTTTGATTGGTATGAGATAGACTTTTTAATATTCACCAAATAGTTCCCTCTCTTTCTCTTGTTCTCTCTCATTTCCTATGTTTCTTTCTCTGCCCCTCTCAGCCACTGTGTGCATGTGGATGTATCTATCTCCCTTTTTGTTTCTTTCCCTTTCTGAAATAGTTAGCTTTGAGCCCTGCATATGGTTATATGTTTAAGATTCTTCTTTTCCTTAAATGAAGTGCACTCATGATTTATCAGGTTAAGGACGATGATATTGGCATAAATCTACTTACTTACCATGGGCCAAATGACATTATTACACTGATGCAGTAGGTTTACCAATAACTCCAAACACATAAATGGAATAGAGTTAAAGATTTATAACTGTACATATAATTCTAAATAGGATGACTTATGTGTAAATGACCCAGAAGACAGCATATAAATTGAGATTTCATTGTGTTTGGTTTTCATACAGAGAGGAGGGGGTTATAAAACTGCGTACTCCTTTGGAGTTTGTTTTATTCTTACTCTTTGTTAGAAATTCCTGGTGGAAAGGCAGACAGAAACAAGCAATGGGGAAAGGACTTCTTATTCAACAGATGGTACTGGGATAACTGCCTAGCCATAGGCAGAGGAATGAAACTGGACTCTACCTTTCACCATATACAACTATATACAAAAATTACTCAAGATGAATTAAAGATTTAAATGTAAGACCTCGAATTATAAGAAGCCTTAAATAAAACATAGGAATCACTATTCTGGACGTTAGCCTTGGGAAAGAATTTATGACTAAGTCTTCAAAAGCAATTGCAACAAAAATGAAAATGGACAAGTGGGACTTAATTAAACTAAATGGCTTCTACACAGCAAAAGAAACCATCAGCAAAGCAAATAGAAAACCTACAGAATGAAGCGAATAGCCACAAACTACGCATCTGACAAAGATCTAATATCCAGAATCTATAAAGAACTTAAGCCAATCAACAAGTAAAACAAATAACCCCATTAAAAAAATAAGCAAAGGATATAAACAGATAACTTCTCAAAAGAAGACATACAAGCACTAACACACTTGTGAAAAAAAAATGGTCATCATCATTAAACATCAGAGAAATGCAAATCAAAACTACAATGAGACATCATCTCACACCAGTCAGAATAGCTGTTATTTAAAAGATGAAAAGCCACAGATGCTGCTGAGGCTGTAAATTAAAGGGAACACATATACTTGTTGATGGGAATTTAAATTACTTCAGCCACTGTGGAAAGTGGTTTGGAGATTTCTCAAAGAACTTAGAACTACTATTCAGCTCAGCAATCCCATTACTGTGTATATATCCAAAAGAAAATAAATTGTTCTGCCAAAAGAGCACATGCATTCTCACGTTCATCACTGTATTATTTACAATAGCAAAGGCATGGAATCAATCTAGTTGTCCATCAATGGTTGGTTGGATTTTTAAAATGTGGTACCTATAGACCTGGAATACTAGGCAGTCATAAACAGAATGAAGTCATGTCCTTTGTAGCCACATGGATGGATGGAGCTGGGGGCCATAATCCTAAATTAACTAACACAGGCACAGAAAAGCCAATACTGCATGTTCTCACTTATAAGTAGGAGCTAAATATTGAGCACACATGAACATAAACATGGAAACAGTAGACACTGTGGACTACTAGAGAGGATAGAGTGGGAGGCCACAAGGGTTGAAAAATTGCCAGTTAGTTTCTATGCTCACTACCTGGGTGCAGTATACCCATGTAACTGTCTTATACATGTGCTCTTTGTATCCAAAATAAAAGTTGAAATTAAAAAATCAAAGAAATGCTGGCAAATAAAGCCAATAAATATATTTGGCTACTTTTAATGCCAGCTTTTTTTCTCATCAGTTTTTGTTCAGCTTTATTAGATCTGCGTTTTTATAGCACTGCTTTGTAGAGGCTAATCTTGAAAAGAATACTGACCTGCTAAAGAATATAGTTATTCAGGGTTGTGGCTTTTATGATCTGTGACAAGTGGGGCCTTGAGTCTAAAAGGGCAAGTTTCTAACAGGCTGGCTATAAATACTACTGAACCTTATTAAATAATATACACATTTTTTAATGTATCGGAAGAGTGATTGCATTAAAATATATACATTTTAATTTTCCTTAAAGTAATACTCTCATTTTATGAAATATATAGCTGATAAACACCTTGCAATCTATTCTTATATTTATTTATATATGCCAAAAATATAAATTAGTTTGGTATATGAAACGACAAACAGTCATTGCACAGTCAATGCATACTCATTATGAAAAAGCTCAATATAGAAATAGGTTAGATTTTGAAGCAGAGAGTATGAGGATGTTTCTTTCAGTTTGCAATTGTTTTCATTGCCATTTCTTGCTCTTGGTTTTAGAGACAGGAGAGAAAAGTCTCTTTGTGCACTGTCGTATTAAGAAAGAATATGATCCCTTAGAACTCTGGCACTCTACTACTGTAACACACCTTCATCTATTGCCAGATCACATAGCTCCACAAGCGGCGAGACTAAGCCTGTCCAACATGGTGAAACCTCCATCTCTACTAAAAATGCAAAAATTAGCTGGGAATGATGGCTCACACCTGTAAACTCAGCTATTTGTGAGACTGATGCAAGAGAATTGCTTGAACCTGGTAGGTGGAGGCTGCAGTAAGCTGAGATTGCACCACTGCACTCCAGCCTAGGTGATAAATTGAGACTGTCTCTAAAATTAAATTAAATTAAATTTTAAAAAACTTATGTCATCTTATCAACTCACCTTGCTGTCAATGGACAGTCTAAGCATTTTGACTTAGTAGTGCCAACTTTTTTTTCTAATTTTCCTTTAGTTTTTTTAAATAATAAAGTTTGACTTTTGTATCTGAGAATAAATCAGCAAATTCTGAAACATCTTATGTAGCAGGGACATAGCCTGGGACAATCACATTTATTGAAGAAAATTCACAAGTAATTCCCACAACTTGAGTATACATGTTTGTACTTCTTGCATTATAATCAGGCACTATATTATAGACTTACTAATTTTTAGTGTATGTTGTATTTTGTTTAGCAAGTATGTATCTTCTTAATCAGAACAGTATTGTATGCATACTTTTATGGATTAAATATATTTAATTTATTTAATTGCACCTTGGGAAATTCAGTACTGGCATTCTCTGTGACTTGCTGGGATTTTAAGTTGTTACAGAATTTAGTCTTAAACTGCTGTTAATTATAGATTTTTTTAATAGAAACATAATTCCCAAATCATTATTTAGCATTTTATTGATCCTATTTAGAAGCACATTGTTTGCATTAATAAAATCCTAATACATTTTCATGTCTCTAAGTCTTCTTTTAACCTTACATTTATCAAGTGCCCTAGATGATTTATAGAACAGTGCCGATTTATGTATTCTTGACCTTGAGCTTTTTTATTTTGTCCTAAAGTTGCTTTTGTCTGACTGCTCATCAGACTAAACATTACTTACTCCTACTTTAAATTTATTGTGTTGTACAAACATAATATCTATTTTTCTGAATAAATATTTATATCATCTATTTTTAGAGCTCTGTTTTTGAATTCACTATCTTTCTTGATTTAACACAAGCTCTCCAGATCCATTTATAATTTATTGAGAATTTGATGAGATGAGAGTTTACCTGCTGGTAGCTAAGGCCCTGGAATGAGATAATAGCTCCGTTTCGATTGCAGTGTCCTTCAGAGGGAAGAAACCGTTCTTTCAAATTGTTGAGTGAAGGTTATAAAGAGGACTGGCTGCAGTGGAGGAATTATTCTTAAGCTGAGGATGCTTCAAGCAGCCTAGGTTCATGTGGCACATAGCATGTATTGCAAGAACAACAGGAAAGCCCACTGTAGAATGGTGCTGAGAACTAGCCTTGGACGAACACAGACCCTGATGCTGTGCAGCTAGTAATTTGCTGTTTCAAATGACTGATAATTGGTTCCAGGGAATTAAACAAACCTAGTAAGAGGAAAATACACAAGTCGACTTTTCAGCAATTTTTACTTAACATCAACAGAGAAAAGTAAATAAATATATGTATCTTTTTAGAAAATTTAAATCTTCCATGATGTGTATATATATATATATAAAATATATTTATATATTTATATATATTTAAATCTTCCATGATGTTTATATATATATAATATATTACATATATATACATATATTTAAATCTTCCATGATGTATATATATGTATATGTATATGTATATATACATCATGGAAGATTTAAATTTTCCAAATAATTACTATATATATGTATATATATATATATTATATAATATGTTATATATATACATACTTATATATTATATAAACATACTTATATATATATACATACTTATATATTTTATATATACATACTTATTTTGAAAAAAGTTTATTGTGTTGGACATTTTCTTAGAAACTTTGTGGCCTACTCATTAGTTATTATTTAATATTTTTAAAACTTGATATGGTATTTACTTAAACTTAGCCTCAATTTAAATCAAATATGTTAGTGAAATGTTTCAGATGGTCCCAGAACCATATCATGAAGGTATCACTGGCCTGAATCTGAATATGGGTGTACTTTAGAGTGGCTACAGGCTCCTTGGAAATGAATGAGAATGATTTCAATAAGGAAGAATTTTATGAATGCCAGATTATTTATCTTAAAATTTTGTTCAGTGATTCACCATAGTGATGCCATTAAATATACTGGAATTTCGGTAAGAGGGATGTAAAAAGAAATTTACTTAGAAAAGAAACTACTTCTATGAAATACAAATATTTAGTCATTTAATACAAAAACCCTTCAAGCCTTTATTTATGATATTCATGTCCTTTACATAAATTAACAAATGATCTTATATCTTTTTTCATTTTAGCATGTGGAGAAACCCTGCAAGAATCCAATGGCAACCTTTCTTCTCCAGGATTTCCCAATGGCTATCCTTCTTACACACACTGCATCTGGAGAGTGTCTGTGACCCCAGGGGAGAAGGTAGTTTATACCATCAAGCCTACCATTTTACTCTCATATAAGTACAAAGGTTCACCTCACTTCAAATATAAATTTGCTTTATCCTTTATTTTTGTTTAATCTTTCGAATAGACTAAAAGTTTCAGAAAATTCGTAATGGAAATTGCTTAAACTCCAGGAATATTTTTTGAAAGATATAATTTTAAAAATTTTAATTCAATAGAAGGGATGAAATAATACAAATTATACTCTCAGATACAAAAGGAATTGTGATAAAAATCAGTATCAAAATGACACTTTAAAAATCCCCATATATTTTAAGATTTTAAAATATACATCTGAATGTCCAGTTCAACCAGGAAAAAATTATAATGAAAATTATAAACTATTTTCAACTATGAGAAAAATATTGAATACCAGTCCTGTAAAATGGAACTAGAGTAGCACTTAGTTGAAAGAAACTTCACAGACTTAAATACTTACATTAGGAAATACGAAAGACCCCAAACTAATGAGCCTAGATAACCATATGAAGAGGTTAGAAAAAGAGCAATAAAATAAAAGAAAGATATTTAAAAAGGAAATGGTAAAAGATAAAATTAATGACATGAAAATAACATATGTTAGGAAGTATGAACAAAGTTGATAGTTAGAATTAACTTAAACAAAAACAAGGAAATGGGTCAGGAGAGGTGGCTCATGCCTGTAATCCCAGCACTTTGGGAGGTCAAGATGGGAGGATCACTGGAAGTCATGAGTTTGAGACCAACTTGGCCAACATGGCAAAACCCCATCTCTACTAAAAAATACAAAAATTAGCTTGTCATGGTGACACAAAGCTGTAATTCCAGCTCTTCCGGGGTGCTGATGCACGAGAATCACTTAAACCTGAACCCAGGATGGGGAGGCTGCAGTGAGGTGAGATCCCACCACTGCACTCCAGTCTGGGTGACAGAGCGAGACTCTGAAAACAAACAAACAAACAAACAAGGCTGGGCGTGGTGGCTCACACCTGTAAGTCCAACACTTTGGGAGGCCAAGTAGATCACATGAGATCAGGAGTTTGAGGCCAGCCTGGCCAACATGGTGAAGCCCTGTCTCTACTAAAAATACAAAAATTAGCTGGGCATGTTAGCAAGTGCCTGTGATCCCAGCTACTTGGAAGTCTGAGGCAGGAGAATCACTTGAACCCAGTAAGTGGAGGTTGCAGCAAGCCAAGATTGCGTCACTGCACTCTAGTCTGGGCGATACAAGTAAAACTCTGTCTCAAAAAAAAAAAAAAAAAAAAAAAAAATAGACAAAAACAAATCCCAAGGAAATAGATGAAAACATGTTTGATTAAGAAAGATGAAGAATAATAAAGAAAGCACAATTATCTAACATTTGGAAAAAAGATTTTAAAAGATTATTATAAGCATAGAGTCTTCAGATAACAAAATGAGAATAAAAGAATCATGTGAACATTGTATCAATAACTTAAAAACATTGAATAAAATGGACAAAATTTTCACAAAATATTGCTACTAAGTTCTTACTCAAGAAGAAATTTAAAAGTATTTACAATAGCAAAGACATGGAATCAACCTAGATGCCATCAGTGGTGGATTGGATAAAGAAAATGTGGTATGTATACACTATGGAATACTACACAGCCATAAAAAAAGAATGAACTCATGTCCTTGTAGCAACATGCATGGAGCTGAAGGCCATAATCCTGAATGAATCAATGCAGGAACAGAAATTTAAATATCACAAGTTCTCATTTATAAGTAGGAGCTAAATATTGAGCACCCATAGACACAAACATGGGAATAATAGACACTGAAGACTATTAGATGGGGGAGAATGGAAAGGGGGAAATGAGTTGAAAAACTACCTATGGGTAGTTTGTAGTTTGCCTTTGATTCTTATTTAGCTGGAAGAACTCGAGTGCTCTCATTAGCTGTGGTGGTAATGGAATTGCAATTTTTTAAAACAAGTTTGATGTTCTTATGATAACCAAATGTTATTAGGAGATAATCATGGTATGGAGTTGTCTAGGTTTTTGTAATATTCACAGTGGAAACTCTGAATCAAACACTCACATAACATAAATAATTTCTAGATGCAAAAAGTTACAACTGACTTGGAATATATGAATGCATGCATAGTTCTTGGTATAGTTATTTTTAATTTAAGAATTGTAAGTTTGTTGTAATATGGTTATAGGTGTTGATCAATTTCTATTTAAGTTCTTTTAATAAGAGTCAGAAAACCTCATACAACATGAAAAGTTTGGGAGCAAGATTAACCCAATTAAATTGTTTCACAACAGCAAGTTAATATCTGGGAAAAATATTTCTCCTGTCCAACTTCAAAACTCTTGCCATTAGCATTCAGTGTTAATTTACTTTTCTTGTATGTATGATTATCTGTAAAACTATATTTCCAAAAATGTTGCAAATAGGAAGAAAAAGCTATCATATTTCTCTATTATTTTTCTTAATATTATTTATGATTAGTGAATACATTGGATTGTTATAAGAGGCCAATGAAAAATATTAACTCATTTTAATCCTTGTGACTTTATTATTTTTTTATTCTCTTTCTCCTAATACTTGGTTTCATTCTGCTGGATTTTTTTTCTTACTTCTTGAGCTGGGAATTTAACTCATTAATTTCAAGCATGTTTTCTTTTCCAATGTAAACACTGAAGGTTGGATTTTCCCTTCAGAACTACCTTACCTGAATTGCACCAGCTTAAAATAGAGTATTTGTTATGTTTCAATTCTGATTTTTTCTGTTGTTTGTTATTTTTCCTTAACCCACATATTTTTTTCTATAATGTGTTTTTCTTCTTTGCAAATGTTGTTTTTTCAAACATCCTTTCCTATTTATCTCTCTTTGTGTCACAATTAGGTAAGGGACTATCGCTGTGTCTTTGCAATAGTTTCAGCCTGATATGATCTTAGAAGTGACTAACCTTGCTTTAAAAATATGTTTTGTGCAATGGTCGGGTGCATTCATCTTAATTGTGATATTCATATAGTCTCTATATTATTGTTGAGTCTGTTTGATTTATCAGATGTTTACAAATACTTGTCGCTATAGTAAATTTGTTAATTGCCTTTACAGCTCTGTTAATTTTTGTTTTAATTTATGCTATATCATTTTATATGCATGTTTATAATATTTTATCTCTCTGATGTATTAAACTGTTAACACTGTATAATGAGTTTCTTTATTTCTAGAAATGGTTCAGATAAAACTCTATTTTGTCTATTATTAATAAAGCTACACTTATCTTTTGATTAATATCTTTACCAGGTATATCTTTGTCCTGCTCTAGACATTCAATAATTTCCAACCTTTTGTTTCAGGTATCCAATTCAGTTTATTTTTATTTAGTCAGTGAATGGCAGGTTTTGTTTTTAATTATAGTGCTTATTGTAGTTCTGTTTATCATGACTATTGCTGTGTTTTAGACAGTCTACAGTCCAGTTTATTTTTTGTTTAATCGATGATGGCAAGTTTTGTCTTTAGTTAGTGTGCTTACTGTGGTTCTATTTATCATGACTATTGGTGTGTTTTTATTTCTTATTTACATTGTAATCCATGCCTTTTTTGTTCTCCCCCTTTGTCTTCTTATGTACTGAATTACATTTTGCTTTTGTCTTATTTCTTTTTAAAAAATTTATTTATTATACTTTAAGTTTGGGGAACATGTGAAGATCATGCAGGTTTGTTACATAGGTACACACATTCTCTGATGGTGGTTTGCTGCATCCATTGCCCCATCATCCACATTAGGTATTTCTCCTAATGCTATGCCTCCCTAATCCCCTCACCCCCTGCTATTCCTCCCTTAAACCCCACCCCCCAACATACCCCAGTGTGTGATGTTCCTCTCCGTGTGTCTGTGTGTTCTCATTGTTCAACACCCACTTATGAGTGAGAACATGTGGTGTTTGGTTTTCTGTTCTCGTGTCAGTTTGCTGAGAATGATAGTTTCCAGTTTCATCCATGTCCCTGAAAAAGGACATGAACTAACCTTTTTTATGGTGCATAGTGTTCCATGGTGTATATGTGCCACATTTTCTTTATTCAGTCTATCATTGATGGACATTTGGGTTGGTTCCAAGTCTTTGCTATTGTGAACAGTGCCGCAGTAAACATCTGTGTGCATGTGTCCTTTTAATAGAATGATTTATAATCCTTTGGGGATATATCCAATAATGGGATTGCTGGGTAAAATGTTATTTCTAGTTTTAGATTCTTGAGGAATCACCACACCGTCTTCTACAATGGTTGAAGTAATTTACACTCCCACTAACAGTGTAAAAGCATTCCTATTTCTCCACATCCTCTCCAGCATCTGTCTCCTGATTTTTTTGATGATTGCCATTCTGACTGGTGTGAGGTGGTATCTCATTGTGATTTTAATTTGCATTTTTCTGATGACCAGTGATGATGAGCTTTTTTTCAAGTGTTAGTGGTTGGCTGCATAAACATCTTCTTTTGAAAAGTGCCTGTTCATATCCTTTGCCCACTTTTTGATGCGGTTGTGTGTTTCCCTCTTGTAAATTTGTTTAAGTTAGTAGATTATGGATATTAGCCTTTTGTCAGATGGGTAGATTGCAAAAAATTTTTCCCATTCTATTGGTTGCTGGTTCACTCTAGTATTAGTTTCTTTTGCTGTGCAGAAACTCTTAAGTTTAATTAGATCCCATTTGTCTATTTTGGCTTCTGTTGTCATTCCTTTTGATGTTTTAGTCTTGAAGTTCTTGTCCATGCCTATGTCCTGAATGGTATTGCCTAGGTTTTCTTCTAGAGCTTTTATGATGTAAGGTCTTATATTAAAATCTTTAATCTATCTGGAGTTAATTTTTGTATAAGATTTAAGGAAGGGATCTAGTTTCAGCTTTCTGTGTATGGCTAGCCAGTTTTCCCAGCACCATTTATTAAATAGGGGATCCTCTCCCCATTGCTTGCTTTTGTCAGGTTTGTCAAAGATCAGATGGTTGTAGATGTGTGGCATTCTT